CAGCCGCCAGAGTTCTATTGGAATGGCATCCATAGTTTGCATAAACGTTGGCGTGAAGTGATAGAGGCCAATGGTGATTACATTCATGATTGAGATGATTTTGCTTTTAAATAAACTGGGTTGTAATAATTGTTCATGAAATTCCGAGAACTTTCTTTCCAATCAGATATTATGCTCATACCATGGACAATGATGTCACAGGCTATTGATAAGAAAACAGCACCTGGAAAAATCTGAAAACTATGCCCATAGTTAATTGCCTCTGGAATTGCTGGTAGAAAGTCTGTTAGCTGAATGACATAAAGCAAATAAGAGGCATCCAAAGATTCAGTGAATGGATTCTCTGGTACAACTTGTAGCAGATCAAGGATATTATTTCCTCCTTGGTAATTCCTATTTTTGCATTGGAAAACTTTTTCAATTAATTCATAAAATTTGTTCAGTGGATGGTATGTGAAAAGGAAGGAATGTTGCTAAATTGGTAGAAGCTATGAAGGATGGCTTCAACTAAGCCTGATTAAAGGGGTGCAACAACAACTTTAAAAAATCCAATAGGTTCAATCATTTTAAAACTAAAAAATTTAAGAAAATATCAAGGCAGAAGTATGTTCCAGGAGGTCTTTGAGTTGTCCATTGTTGTCATTACCCTTCAGGAGTAACCTGATTACATCTTCCATGTTGCCTCACAGATCTAGTTGCAGGCTTTGATTTGGTTACCTATATCCTACCATAGGTCTGTAAAGAGACACTAAATTTACCAACACGAGGAGACGAAAATGTTTCCAACTGCGTGCGATCCCGGCTCAGTAGATGAGGGCTTGCCAAGTCTGTCAAGTCATCTGCATGTTCAAGAAAGTAAGTCACACAACTACTGCTCAGAATTCATTCATCAGGTATAGCACCATATCTAGTAAGAATGGGCCCGAAACTAGCCACTTACCAAGTCTGGGCTATCCATTAGTGATTAGGAGTGATTTGACACACTTACTAAGCTCAACTAGATACAGTTATGAATGAAAACTAAACCAAGAAGGTACTCCTTTCCTTTCTATGCAAACTAATGGAAAACTGCATATTTTCTAACAACTATTACATGTCCCACTTAAAAAAAGTGCTGAAAATTTACCTTGTGAAAGATCTTGTGCAAACTTCTACACCAGCATGCACATTGAGTTCGTCTCAGACTTTACATTATACATTGATCCAGGCCTATAAAGAATAAAAAGTAGCTTCTGGTGGAAGGAGGGCTTCTTTGACAAACCTTTGTCCACCAATAATGTTTCTGATGAGCCATCATGCTGCCAGACAATTCCAGAAACCCATGGGCCAGCAATTCCTTTTCTTTAATTTTGAGTGTGCAGGTGTGAAGTTGTTTCCAACCATGAAGTATCCCTTATTGTTTTCCCACCTCCCACTGAAGAACATTAAATAAATTAAGCTACATGATGAACATGAGAGCCATCAATGCACAAAAACACTCACTGGAAGCAGCTTTTGTTTATTTCTATGATTGAAGTTGGTGTGTTCATCTGATGAGCATGATAAAACAGACAAGAACTTCCAGCTTTTGCATGGCTCATGAACACCAAGTACACCCCAAGCTAGTCATGTGAACACCTACCAGAAGTGTAAGTGTTCACATTATATAAGGATGTGTGAACTCCTACCATAGACCTGTTGACACCTATCCTGTGTACCCCTGACGTGAACACCTTTTCGTTCCCCCTTCATGTCTCGACACATTCGTATCTGGTTGCTGTGCAACTTGATTGACATGTGCTAAAATGCCTAGAGTAATTTTTAAATGTAATATCAGTCATGAGAATGGATAATATATGAAGAAGGTAGACATTGAATGGATGCCAGGGACTAGAAATGAGGTCAAACAGGTGATCCTCATGGTAGCCAGCTGAGACGTCACTGAGGGTATCACTGCCAAAGTTCATCCAATATGTCTCAAAACAGCATTTTGGAGTGCAGGGTACACCACCATGCCTCTGCCATGTAGTTCCTCAGCAACTCAATTCCCATTCCTTAGATCCTCTTCAGTATCTGCTGCTTCATTGACCCCCACAGTGCCTCAATCCTCTGAATGTTGGGGTCCATGATATTTTGTGAATGGTTCACAGTTTCATGAATATACCAAAGCCAGCCAAAACCTGCATATGTGGTGAACTCATCTGATCAGATGGTTCTCCCAATATGGATATGTCAGCATATAATTGGAAGGTATATCTTATTGTCACAGTGTTGGACAATAAACATCCTGGTCCCCAACAGACCACCATGATGCCATGCCATTCCAAACACCCAGGGACCAGTCACCCAATTTCCAAAATTTACTCAAGCAGGTAGGAAGTTTTTCCCCACCATCAGGCAACCTTGGTTGTTCTTTTGTTGACTGCTACAAAAAGACAGACACCACTCTCATCCTGCATCATTTAAATATATAATGGTTTCATTTCTACACAACTTCAGAAATCTCTACCAGAAACAGTCCTTGTCAATTTGGACAACCTCACCCAGCCCCCCATTGGAAGTACAGCATCCAAAGCATCTGCTATGATTTCCTGGATAAAGTTCCACCAATCTACAAGAGTCTTGGGTCTTGGTCTGTGTGGGTGAAATCAACAAGGACATAAATAATTGGCAATGCTTGATGCTGACATCAGCAGCCTAAAAATATAGTAAAGAACCATTTGAATGCTCTACTTGGAGCAAGAGTGATCAAGCTTATTATTGAAAGATGCCTCTGTCCTTCCCTTGTTCAGCACCAGCAATCACTTCCAAGCTGTTCCAGCACTCCAGAACCTCCTGCATTTGCTGCAAGTAGGATGGCAAACCAGGCTCTGTTCCAACCAGGTCTGGTGCTGTTGTACCTTGCCCCAATAACAAACAATCGAGCAACATGTGGACTCTGCACAACATGGCATGTACTAATACCTCATGTAAGTGTAGGCAATGTAAGAACCAATAAGCTAAAGAAAATCCAACATACCAGGGCAACCAGATACCCAACATCCAAAAGCTTGCACATGATGTGTGCAATTGAGTAGCAGACCTTGCTGCACTGCAAGTTCTACTGAAGTAATGTCATGAAGCAGAATTAGATAGATTTGTGGGATGTCTGGATCGAGGTGAGGAACGGCCATGGTTGACAAGCAACATGAGAAGGAGATGGTCTCGCAAGTGAGATGTGTGTTCCCTCCCATGTTTTTATAATTATAACAGGAACCTAGAGACAAAGGGTGAGAGAGTAGGAGGGTATGTGAAAATCAGAGATAATCTGCTGGGTGAATGTCATTGGTATCAGGTCAAGCATCATCATGTCAATGTCAACTTTTCAAATCCAAGTGAAAGCTGAAGGTTTAATGGGGATATTCCTGTGTTGCTACTGTTGCTACTTATGCCAATAGAAGAGAACAAGAAGTTGTCATTCGGAGAGAATTGGAAGCACTTTAGTAGAAATAATAATTCCCAGAAGAGGTAGGCACTGAAACCAAAAGAGTGCACCAGGGAGGTGCTGATCCCCAAGCTTCAATATGGTGCTTCTGACAGGAAATTGATAGGATAGCAAAATCGAAACAAGAAAATACATTCTAGGCCTCCTACACTCGTGCATTATGCTTAGTTACTATACAGCTACAGACACAAGGCAAAGACAGGACTTAAAGGATGGGTGTACATGGTGTTTACAGGATGTACAATAGCCAGACCTTCCTCATTCCTCCAGTCAATTAGCATTTGACTGCACTTTGAAGATATGCATGATGACAAGAAGCACTGTGACAGAGTTATGGTGGTGTCAAAAGCCAAGCAAAATAGTAAACAATTGAAAGGATGGTACACATACTGAGATTTGAGCAAGGCTTCCTGTCAATGCTCATGAAGGAATTTCCTTCATTCCTTCCTGTGCTTGCATGTTCAAGACTTCTGGATAATAATCAGGTGTTGTGATAGCATTTGCATCTGTTGCAACAGACGATCAAACACCTGGAGCCATTAGCCTCTGTCCATTGTATCATACAGTTTTCTTGGCACATTAAAACTTAAGGTTTATACCTGACATTTAAAAAAAAAGGAGTTCTCTAAACTCTTTCATTGCTATGCCCATACATATGCAAGCACCACTTCAAGGAGGTGGCATTCTTAGTCCATAGTATGATGCATTTAAATTCAATCAGGCATTTATGTGGCCAATTCATAACCTCCAATACTATGAGTGCATGCAATTCAAATAATACCATCTTTCATGAAACTGACAAAAGCTTGAAATATACTCACACAAAGTGTAACACCTCAAAATGAAACTCAACACTTAAAGAGTTATATGAGTAAAAGAAAATAGCAAAAATGTCTCTGTAACTTGAGTAACTAAGTGGGTCAAAGTAGCTTTGGCATTACAATATATCATCAGGTCGGCTGGTTATTTTCAAATTGTGAAGGCAAGAATAAACAATTTATGCACTATATTTCCATGGTAATGATGCTTAACACATTGAACTCATACTTAAATGGCATTGTCTGCCCCAACAGCTCAACTTCATTTTCCAGTCATTTAAACTGTTCTACAAGGTCTCAAAAGTATCCGAACTTCAGTTACAAATCAATTTCCCATGTGATATTTATAATTTTTATTCTTGATTATTCAAAATATGTCCCTTCCGAAGAAATGCAGGCTTTGCAGCAACCATACAACTTTTGGGAACACCTCTGGTAGTCTTCCTCCGAGATGGCGGAAATAATCTTGGTGGAAGCCTTTTGGATGTCCAAAATCGTGTCGAAACGCTTTCCTTTCGGCTTCATTTTTAGTTTGGGGAAAAGGAAATAATCACAGGGTGCCAAATAGGGCGGGTGGTCAAGCACTATGACTCCTTTTGAGGCCAAAAAGTTCCGCACAATGATGGACCTGTGAGACGGAGCATTGTCATGGAGGAGAGACCGGCTGCCTGGTGCTTGGTATCGAGGACGGACCCGAGCAATTCTGGTCAGCAAACGCTTCATAACAGAGAGGTAGTATTCGTCATTTACCGTTTGGCCTTCTGGAACGAACTCCTTGTGGATAATCCCAGCCGAATCAAAGAAAGTGATTAGCATTGTTTTCACTTTTGACTTCTGCATATGCACTTTTCTTGGTGTTGGTTCTTCTGGAGTCTTCCAAACTGAGCTCTGGCACTTTGTGAGTGGCTCATATTGAAAACACCATGTTTCACCTCCAGTTACAATGGTTTTTAAAAAGTTTGGGTTATTATCGGCAAATGAAATGATGTCTTGGGCATGCAGCATTCTGACCTGTTTTTGATCATCATCCAATGAGTGCGGAACAAATCGCGTACAGACTTTTCGCCGCTGTAAATCTTCGGTCAAAATGCAGTAAACTTGTGATTTACTGATACCTATGATATCCTTAATGAGTCTCACGGACATGCAATGGTCGCTTTTGATCAAATCACACACTTTTTCCACTGCTTCCTCTGTTCGACTGGTCAAAGGGTGCCCGCTGTGTTCGTCTTCCAACGATTCTCTACCATTCTGAAACTTTGCATACCACTCATAAACTGTTGTACATGATAGTGCTTGTTCCCTATAAGCCTTCTGCAACATCTCGAGCGTCTCCGTAAATGTTTTCCCCAATTTTACACAGAATTCGATGCTAGTTCTCTGCTCCATGGTGATTTCTCGACGAGTGTCATAAGGGTACTGTTACTTTTGGCACCCTACTCATTCGTCTTAGCCCAACCAAACTCAACAGAGTAATACATGAAGTTTCAACCAAGAGAACACCACCTTCTTTCAACAAATGGCACCACTAATACTGTCTGTATAGAAAAAGTTCGGATACTTTTGGGACACACCTTGTATATTTAAAACCCTAAGTGACTTTCTCCTTGGAGAGTAAGTTTACTAAACATGATGCTTATTAAACATCATCCAAAGATTGTTAGTTGCTGATAATTGGGACAATTACCCAACAAGAACTCAATTTTTTGTACACCAGAGGAGATCCAATAGATAAGTGCAACGGGTAAAGACACCTCTTGCATCACTTAAGAGTAACAATAAAGATTATGGGTACTGATGGCCACATTCAAATATGAAAAAAGCAGTATTACAGGTAGTGTTATTATAAATGGAGAAAGGCACAATAATGGATATTCCGACATTCCACATAATGTAAACTAGAAGCATTGTATTAGTTATGCACATCATTCCTATCTGGTATCACTTAACATCAAAGCCTTGAGACCTCTGAAAATGACAGGAATTGGAATTCCATGAATTGTTAATTCGGGCCTAACCCTCAGGACCATGGGGAATAAAAAATGCGATCGATAGGCATACTTCAATGTCAGCCTCACCTCTAACTTTAGGCCTAACGCCACTCCTCGGCCGACCAGAGCCAGGAGCCGTCATGGTTTCTCCTTCGTTTGAAGCACTTCTGGCTTAGGCCTAAGGAAGTTCGACCCTCCTTTTATGAACCGGAAGACCTTAGCAGGGTTGCCAGACGACTTTGGTTCTATTCGACACTTCAAAGGTGTAAATGACTGTGAATAGAGAGGGAAAAAATGAAATGATTATTATGCTGTGAGATCCTTCTTTATTTCATATCCGCTATATTCTGCCCGGAGAATGACAATGTGGTTCATGGACACGCCGTAGATCCTATACTATTGTATGAGATTCTGTTTCATTTCCTGCTGATATTTAAATAAGTTGCACTGTTTCTGTTGGGTAGGGCACATGCACAGCAGCTGGACCTTACTTCTCCTTTAAGTTCATGGACATAAGGTAACCTTACGGCTATATAAGTGTTTTTTGGTACTTCATGATTCCTAAAAACTGATGACTACATTTAGCCGGATGGACCGATGTCTGATTATGATCTCATACCCTTCAGCCTGTGATGATGCCGATGCTGATTGTGGCTCATAAATGAAGAGCGAAAAACCATGACGTGAAATACTTATTCAGGCAGGCCTTCTCGGGTGTCACGAGCTAATTTTTTTAAACGCTGTCACGATGGCAATTTTGAAAACACCAATGCAACACTCAATTCGCATCATTGCATCACTGGAGTGGGGGGGGGGGGTGAAAGGGGGGATTTAGGGATCTCTAGTCGCAGTCGGGTGGAGGTTTCACTGGTGTCGGTTCTCGTCTCGATCTTTGCTCGGACAAGAAGCTTTCCGTCTTCCGTGATTCCATGTAGGGGGTAGGCGACTATCGCGATAGGTAATGGAGCCATCGGTGCCTTCAACTATCGATTATGACCACGATGGACCGATCGATGTATCGTGACAGACATACTTTTTGCTGGCGCTGTTGCATTTTCCAAGCCGCGTTCACGTATTTTTAAGTTTATTTTCCGACACGTTCTTCTTTCGGCATCGGCAACTTGCCTCATACCGGGAAGGGTTGGGGGGGGGGGGGGGGGGGGGCAAGGAGGCTTTGCTGTCGTCACTGCAGAGGGTCTTACCTTGATATATAATGGGTTTACTTTGATTGTTTCGAGGATTCCCGATTCTTTTAAAGAGCTTCCAAAAGTTAGCTGGATCTTCTTCGGTGTTAATCTGTTCACAAAATGTACACCAATATGCCTCGTTTTCGTTTTTAAGGAGAGTTTTAATTTCGTGGTTAAGCCTGTTAATGATAGGTTTGAGTGCAGGGTCTTTAGAGCGAAAATAAGCGCGTCTTAGTTTTCTACGTTTCTTAATTGTATACAGGGCTTCTTCAGAGAGAGAGTAAGGTTAATGGGAGGCAGAAATTTTGGGTATTGTTACTTCTTGCCCGATATAGATGGACTCAGTGACGATAGTGACCGCCTCGTTACGCTGGGGAATGGCATCCATAGGGAGGGGATCTGGGAGGAGGGTTTCTACTATGTCCTGAAAAGCGCACCAGTCGGCATTACGAAAGTCAAAGCGGGGGTTACTTGGGACAGATGGAGGGAGGTGAGAGAAGTTGCACTTTACTATGATCGCTCCCTATGTCCTCTCCTATGGAGAAGTCTTGAAAAAAAGGGAGGAACCGTGCATTGTCGAGTGCGAGATCGATCCTATACGGGTTACCGTGAGCAAAGCAAGAATGGGTGGGGGAGACGTCACCGGTGGTTGCTGATGCCTGACTGAAACCCTTTTTCTGCCGAGTTCCGCATCTCGAACGAATTAGTGTAGACTGCGATCAAATCAAGCATCGGGCAGATGTGTAGTTGTAAGTTCCGAGTTGGGTATATCGTTCTGTCCAAATTTATTGAATTAGGACGACGCTACTCACGTAACTTTGCATGGAGACACACAGCCCATCCACTCAAAAAATGCCACTGACGATTTGGTGCGTTGCAATGCGCCTCGCCCTCCTTCGCCCTCGCTCTCCTTCGCCCACGCCCTCCTTCGCCCTCGCCCTCCTTCGCCCTCGCTCTCCTTCGCCCACGCCCTCCTTCGCCCTCGCCCTCCTTCGCCCTCGCTCTCAAGTGGAGGCGCTTCGCTTCGGTTCCACTGTCGCACTGGGATGTGGCTTCGAAGCGAGCGGATGCCTGTCGGCGAGGCAGTTCGCCTCTAGAAATTCTTAGGTCGTTGTTGCAATTCTCGACGAAGAATTCTGCCGTTTTTCCGGCTCGTAATGATTTTTTTTCCCCCCGATAGTCGCTCTTTCGAGGCAGGAAGTGCGGGAGCAGAAACTGCATCACTATCGATGGGGGAATAAAATAGATTCTTCCCGATGGAAACCTTGTCCACATTTTTCAAAACCTTTTTTTTTAGAGAAAAAAAAAAAGAAGCTGTTCGCGTCTTCAGTTCGCTTTTTCGCACCTAACCTAGTTTTCGATTCACGTGACTCTTTTTTGTTCCCTTGCACAAGTAAAAAAAAAAAAAGTTTTTGACGAGGTTTCGACAATGCGAGAGGTGCATCTCTGCTTTCTCTCTGCCTATTGCTTCATAAGTTTCACGGTGGTTCCTTGGCTCTTTTCGTAGCCGGAGTCCATTTACTCCTCGGCTTCCGTGTTTCTTTATTCTTATTTTACAAGCAAGTTATGCTCATTCCGATTTCGGGATGACGGATCTCCGGACTCCCGGATGACCACGACGCAATACTTTTTTAATCGGGAGGGTAGCAATAACGTACTTTGCTCGGTACTGCATTTCTTTGAAGCCTGGATGAGAAACCACCAAGCAGCCAGCGGTTGTTCGTGATCGGTCGGCGGCCGGGGCTGTGGGCGGCTTCCCTGGAGGCTCTAGCTCTACTCAGGCCTCCAACATCCCATGACGTCACGTCAGGGCCGCCTGGAGGTTTCTGGAGGCCCGGGGCGAAACTTAACCCGAAGATCCTTGAGGCCCCCCGGAGGTCCCTAGAGGTCCCTTGAGGCCCCTGTTGGAGCAGAGATGCTCAGCGCGCTCGTGGATCACTGTGTTCTGCAGGCAGCTACTTGCCCAATGGGTGACGTCATTCGATGACGTGTCGAGACTGACGTCGAGGAGCAGAGGTGTCTCAAGTGCAGGGTTGCCATATTGCCATGAGAAAGAGCAAAACAAAGAGTGAAATAGGTTTTAAAGCCATCCACGTTCTATTCGAGGTTTAACATGAAAAAAAAAATTAATCGAGTGATGAAGTGCAATCTGTTCGTTCACGGTTAAAAATGTTGAATACCTCTGCATGCTTCACGTAGTATCCATCGTAAGTTGTCATACAGTAATTGACGAACAGGGCAGCCCGCTCGAATATAAATCTCACGTCCTCTCGTGTCGTTGCTCAGTGACGGGAGTGGGCCTCTGGATAGGGTGAAAAGGGCCGAGTCGGGAGTGGCGATTGGTCTACGAGCAGGGGACGCCGAAGCTAAGTCTTGCGTGCATTTCCTGGACTGCTCGGGCCATTGACTCATGGTTAGAAGTCACATCGGTATTGGATTGAGTCCAAGGGGTAGCTCCTTGCATGGGCGGCGATTCCTAGGGGCTCAGGGGACTCGAGCCCCCCCCCCCCCCCCAAATAAAAAAAAAATAAGTAAATAAAAAAAAAAATAAAAATAATAATAATAATAAATTCTCAACAAATTGCCGCCTATGGCCCTTGTATTGTGTTGGATGCGCAGGACATTTTCTGGTTCGTGGAAACTGTTGCTGACTCGATGGCCCTGCAGGCAGGCCTACGCGTCATTTCTGCGCCTATCGCTCTGCCATTAACATCCTTTTATTCGTGAAGACTTAAGCCTGGTTAAGAAATTCCTAGTGTAGCAGGAATGAGGTGATTTTTCTGTACCGTACCAACCTTTCCTTTATATGTACTAATTGAATTAAATGTGTTAGCAAAGTGAAACTTGTGCATGAGTTGCCAGGGCCAAGACAATTGTAATGTATTAATGTAATTGTTGTGTAATGTAGTAATGTAATTGTTGTGTATGAAAGAAGGAACTTTTCGATTGAATTCATTGTACTCCATATATTTTTCATATCTGGCACATATATGAGCATAATCACTATGAAATATTTCATATCTCTCCATAAGGGGATATATTTTGGGCTTCATTTATGTCCGATGAAGATGATTTATGTTGATTTAACTTGATCTTGAGTTTAAATTAACCTTGATCATCTGGCATCATCATATGGCATTTGATGCAGAACTATACCAAATGCCAGAAACAGAGAAGACACTAAAAGTTACAAACCAGAATTCAGAGGTAGAAATGTAATTGAAAATTAAAAGGTCATGTTACCTAATATGGAGCTGGAAAGGTGACAATTAAGGACACTGGAGTACCCATGTCAGTACAGTGGTCACATGAACCAAGTTTCTTCCAGTTTGCTTGCTCCGAGTGAGGCAGAGGGACATGTTAGATAGTGTGGGAGATGCTGATTAGTGAATTTTGTTGGAGCTGTAGTGGCAGTGGAGCCCAAACTATGCTTAGTTCCATGCGTAAATTATAAAGCTTCTTCCTACTTTGCTAATTCTGGAGATCTTCAATTCACACTTGTTGATTTTATAGGTCGGCATTCTGAGAGTGGGAATGAATAGCAGAAAATCATGGAAAAAAGAAAACCATGGGAAAGCTTCTGCAGAAACATTGGAGTGCCCGAACCCCCCAATTTAAGCCCGAACTCGCAGGCATTCGACCAGCCGACTCGTCCGTCGCAGATCGATTATTCGCAGATCGTCAGGGCTCCCTTGTCCCGATCGTCTCAAGGGCTCTCGCTGAGCAATCATGGCTCCACTCAGTTGTCGTTTGGATCGGGAGACTTCAGCGACCCGGATGGAGTTGAGAACATGGCAAAGAGGATTTTACTTGAAGATCCCGAGCTGGCCGAACTGCTCCGATCGCCTAGTACGGAATCCCGGTGAGTCTTGGAATTTCTGCACCGATGAGCATTCATTTTGGCATTCAAGGGCCAATTTGATTTGCCATATCCCGTTTGCATTCCAGGGAAGGAAAAAGCAAACATCCATTTGTGCCTGCCAGCAGACTCAGTAGTAGGCCATTTGGAATGGGCATGCAGAAGGATTCCCTGGGGAGAGTGTCCAACATGCAAGCAAGGGCAAGTACTTCAGAAGCCATCACTCCACTTCTCCATTCAGAGCAAGATGCATCAAGTCAGTTAAGGTGAGGATGGAGCATCATTGATGTGCTCTTACATCATGTTACTTCAACAAATGGTCAAGGCCTGAATTGTGAAACCTCTTTTATTTAATGATCCTTTAAGAATACATGGATTCCTATGAGAGAAAAAGAGTTCTTTAAAGGCTCATTTACCTCCCCTATGTAAGCTTTGTGCATTCAAGCCCAAGTGTTTAGTTGCCTCGCTATGCCAAGCTTTAGGTGGTTAGACTGTTGCTCTACAGTTTGCTTTCGCCATAAGCAAGTCAACCTTCTCTGAACTGGGCTGATCAAGGATATAATACTGACTTAAAAAGGTACTTGTAGTTAAACCACCAGTGAAGTCCAATTGTCCAAGATGATTGATGTATGGCAGAACTCTCCTTTTAATGCAGCTGACATTGAAGGAAATTATTTTTCATATTGCTTCTAAATTGAAATAATGCGCTACAATTTGGTTCCCTATTCAGTTGAAGCAGTTTATTTTCTGAAATTGAGTGGTTTGTAGAATTGAATTATTTCACTTCAAAGATGAGCATATGATATAAATCGTATCAGTTCATTCCAAATTAGGAGTATTGTTTACTTTTGAACTTGAAATGCTAAGTATCCTTGACACAAGTTTGTCCCATGTTTCCAGGATTGGAGGTGAGAGTAGCCCTAGCCCAAGTTACTCTCCGTTGCCATTTACTCAGGTAGAGGAGACACCGGCACAGGAACCTCCTTCCCGAGATGAGCCGAGTGGCAATCGGACGTTGTCTCCTGCTGTGAATTTTGGAAGATTGGATTCTACCCTTGCACCAACCAAAGGGTATTTTCATGGGAGAATTTTATTTGACATTGATGAAGGAATAGACCTGGAGAAGGATAAGCTTGTGCTACAATTTTCTGCTTTAAAAAAACAGGACAGTCCGACTTAAAGTCAGATGAGTCCATAGGCTGACATTTTCAATTTTGCCACCATTGCTCAAGAGCTGTTTAAACTATAAAATATGTGAATTTCTGAGAAATTCTGAAAACTTGCTATTTGTAAGGAATGCAGTCATTGAACACTCACTGTGTCATTCTATGGAGAAAAATGACAAACAATGAAGTTGATGAGTGTTGCTGGAACTGACCATAGTTTTGTGACCCCATACCTCAAAGAGCAGGTGACCAAAGATGATGCAATTTTAGATATGTAGGTTTGTCTTTTAAGTAGAACTGTACTACAAAACCCTCAAAGTTTGAACAGTTCAGTACGAAAACCCTCAGAGTTTGCTATCAATAGATTGCAGAAGGACTCTATCTACAACATGAACTAGAAACACTTTTGTTCATGCATCTAAAATAGAAAGCAAGCCAGTCAAAGCCCAATCCAGTGGCGAGACTTCTGAACATTCTATTATTGTTGCTACATTTAAAGTATTAGGAGACATGGATGTGAAAAGTGGAGGGGATGAGAATAGAAGAGGATGCCTTGAGGTAGTTTGCACTACAGGGGGATAGTTAGTGGTTGGGGATAAGGAGGGATGACCATTCGCTCCTTCTGTTGGGGGTTTCAGATATTGCATTTACATATCAGTAAGTTTTTCATGGAATGAATGATTCCAGAAGGAATGAGATATCAAGTTTCCCTCTCTTCTGATGTATGGGAAAAGTTTTGTTTCAAAACCTAAACAGTTACAAAAATAATTAGTGTTGGAATTCTCACAGGCATTGGGGGAAACTTTTGCTCATTGAGACACACATACCTAAGTGATGAATTCATGTTTTCTTCATTTTTTTGTTTAGAGCTAGCAGGCTTGCTAGAAACGAACACACTTACCCTCCTCTATTAGTGTCCACACCTGCACTTGGATGGGCCTCCAAATTTTATTTTTTGCTAATGCTTAAGGTCTTTCCCCTGTGTTTCATTTTTAAATGCTTTTATTTCTGTTGTAGGTCCCAGTTTGGTCCAGGACATAATGCTCAGGTGCAGTCAGACCTTCTCAGGTCTTTGAAGTCAGTGCATCTCATCCGTATCCTTTTCCTTTGCTGCTTTTTATTTCCCAATGATGATATGCATTAGTATTTCCTCATATTGTGAACAATTCTTTTTGTGCTAAATGGTGGTGATATTGAAACTCTTTCAAGCCTATGGCCTATTTGAAGCCTATGGTCTTTGTCATCTGTTTTCAGTATATTAGCCACTAAACCAAATTCTAATATGTGAGGCTGAATGATCATACAGTAATTTTTCACTGTTTTTTTAGACTCTGAAAAATAATAAACTAGAAGGTGCTGAGTGTAGTTCCATGTTATGCTCAAAATATTTCTTATAAATCACACCTGAAAAATGTTTCCCAATTTTCTCCAGCCATACCACATTTTTCCTCTTATCTCTACCCCCTTGATGGTTGAAAATGCAGTCTTTGCACAGATATATGATAGGCCAATGCAAGGCATGTCTAGGATATTATAAGGGGAACTGAAAGCTTGCATGAAAGGAGGGGTGTGGTAAATGATTCTTTGTTTACTTTTCAACTGCCAAATCATAAAATGTGTTTGCTGTTGGTGAGTGGAAATTTTACAGGCCTGTTATGAAAGTAAATTAGGAGATAGTTTGCTTAGTTTTGTTTGTTTCTATTGCAAATAATTATTTTAAAAGTGTCAGTTTTCTAACTTGTGAAATTTTGAATTTGAAGCTCTATCAATATAATTGTCACAAGTCTATGCATGTGCTGACAGGTGTGCAGGCCTGCTTGCAATTGTTATGAGGGTTGTAATGAATATGAGTAGGTATTTGCTGATGTCATTTGACCCTTCAATTTATGTGCTGGTAACCCAAATTTCGTGTGATTAAGTTATCAGGATATTGGAGAATTTTAAGAGCATTACATTCCTAATTGCAAGATGAGGAGTTTCACATCTTCCTCAAGGAAGAGCAGCTTTCAGAAGCATCTATTGGTGCATTTTGCAAGGTTTTTTCCCTGTCATTTGCATGTTGAGCACCCTTAAATTAGAACCACACCAGCTGACCCATATCATCGCATCTTCCCCTTTCCATACTTTAATCGCATCCAGTCGACTGTGTTCGATGACACATTCCTCTCAGATGACTCCATTGTTGTCTCAGCTCCAACTGGAGGAGGGAAGACGGTCATCTTTGAACTTGCCATCATCAGACTCCTCATGAATTCTGGTCGGGACAAGACCCGACCAAAGATGATCTATAGTAAGCTCTTTCTTCTCTTTATGCAAGCACTCTCTGGGCCACAGAACTGGCAGATACAGCTGTTACATGATAGCCTAATGTTTCCTTTTTATTGGGCCTCCTTTCCTGGAAGGAAAGAGAGCACTTATGGTCCTTTCCTATCCATTTGTGTGTCACTCTTTGGTTGTATTACAATAACTAAGAAAATATCAGCCTGATTAATGTGATAATTGGCAAGCAGAAAGATATTTGCAAGTTACAGGCAGAGTTCGTTTTGTGACAAATTTGCACCAAAATTGGAATTTTTATTGAAAATTTTGGCTCTTAATTTTGGTCATGGAGGGGAAGGCATGAGTGCCTGTGAGTCCTTCAGGTTCTTGACCGCAATGCACATGCACGTATGACCCAGGCTTTGGGTGCGGCACTGTGTCGACAGCTAGAGCTGTCTGTTCCCTACCAACCTTGGTGACAGATGGATCCAACCACATGCAGCCCTCTATCCTCCCATCACCATTTCATGGGCACCATTTGTTTGTGTTTACCAAATGCAGTATAAATGAGAAATGAGGTTTTTGATGGTGAAGGCTAGAAAGAGATGGCATTTGGTTCAATTTGGTAACAAAATGAGGGTTTCCTTAACTGAAAGGAGGCTCACTACTGGACTGGGCTTACCCAACTTGTCTGCATCGATAATGCTTTTTATATCTTCATGTAAATTTCATGCTTTTACACATATGTCCCTAACATCCCTTCAATAAAGTATCCTCTGTTCAAAATTTGCAACTGTAAGTTCTTCATGAAGGCTCAAATGTTGACTGATCAGTTGGAAGTCATTCTTGTTTTCAGAAAAATCTTGTATGTGACTATCCTATTGAGAGAGATCTTAATGCAACTGCATATGCATCTGTAGTGGCTCCAATGAAGGCCCTGTGCAAGGAGCGCATGGATGACTGGTCCGAGCGATTCACATCCCTCGGAGTGAAGGTCAAGGAGGCGACAGGGGACTCGGACGAGGGGGAGTACATGCTCCTTCAGGAGGTGGACCTCCTCCTCACAACCCCTGAGAAGTTTGACTCCATCACCCGCCACTGGCGGGACAACCAGCGGCTCGTCCAGCTCGTCCATCTCTTCATGATTGATGAGGTGAGGCTTAAATAATTTCTATTTTCAGGCCATGTAAAATACACCCATCATTGTGGAGACTCTTCTGGAGATTCAGTGTCATTGAAATTTAGTTGATGTCTGAGTTCCTACCTCTATACTGATATCAATATGCCAGTGCTGGTGTTGTGCCTGTCAAAGTTGTGGAACCATGGTTTCCTGCATAGTTAAATATTCTAAAGTAAATCACCTCAAAGTCAGTTGATTGGTTCTACTTTCCCTGAGGCACCTTATTGGTACATGTTAGGACATATGTCCCTTCATTGGAGGTTCTGTATATTGGCATAGACTATTGATCATCGATATCTTGCAGATCTTTGCAGAACTAATATTAGAATAGAATCAGTGATTGGTTGAGTGTTTATCTACTGCCACCTCTCAGGTGCATTTACTGAGCAGTGAAGATAGAGGTCCAACATTAGAAGCAGTGGTGAGTAGAATGAAGACGATCCAGAAAACCAAGGACTCTGCTCTGTCTCCTGTGCGCTTCATTGCTGTTTCTGCAACGATCCCCAACATTGAAGACATCTCTCAATGGTTGAGTTCTGTGGACCGACCAGCAAAGCATTTTGTGTATGTTCTGTATAACATCTCGAGGCTAGATCACCTTGACTGCTGTGAAATGCATAAATTGTTATTAGAATGCCTCTACACGAGTGTGAAATCTGAGATAAATGTGCTTGTTGAGTGGTATTTAAATCTAGAACAGAAAGCTTGGAAGACTCCAGATGCTTCCTCCATAGTCATGCACCTGCAGCTTTGACTTATAAGATAGAGAGATTATTAATTTTTTAAATGGATGAATTCATTTTAATATCTTTGATTTATTGGTCAGGTCACTTCACAGCACTTGACTTTTGCAGCATGGGAGATGAGGTGCGTCCCGTGCAGTTGCGGAAGGTGGTCCTGGGCTATGTCTACCACAGGTCCAGCACAGAGTTCAAGTTTGATTACTCCCTTTCATACAAGCTCCACAATGTTATCAGCATGTATTCAGAGGGCAAACCTACTCTGGTGAGGAACTTTTGCACAATTACAAATAGGATTATTCTGCTATGTTGGGAACCTAAAACTATTCCATCTTGCAGAAGAAAAAGAGAGAAATGTGCATGTTTGATTGTGGCTTAGTAACAGACTCCTCCATCTCTGCTCCTAAAAAAGGAGCTGGTACTTCCAACCTCTCCCATGCATAAAAAATTATAATAAGACATTACTCCCTGTAGCTGAGATCTGAGTCTCGTGATGGCATTGAGTATTATGCTAGACATTTTCCTATCTTCTAAAAAATCTTCTAAAATAAAAGGACTGCACCATTCACAGCCTCACTTGGTCTGCAAAAGTTCATATTTATATGACTTAGGCCTGCACAGATATCTATCTCTGAGGCTGAGACCAGCATCACATTAAGTACTAATACTAATAAGCCTGCAGAATATCTCTTTTATTTTCCAATAGGTGTGTGCATTGGGCTAAGGCTTTGTATATATCTGGTCAAGATCAAAAGTTCCTTAATTCCCTGTAGGCAAAGTCTTGGTATACTATAACCTTCCTTGAATGAAAGCTGGATAATATGGAAGTCTGTTTAGTTTGAAATATGGACATGGTCCTTTGTGATGAAGGAAAGACTTCTGCAGTAAAACCTGTTGAAGCAGAACCTAAATTAATCAGAAACTTATCTGTTTTAGAATATGTATGGAGTCCCATGAGTTTTTGCTTTAGGTAGGTTTTCCTGTATCTCACCTGCAATAATTCAGCTTCTCTGAAGTAACATATGTATAAAATGATGGCATTGGACATCTTACTGCATTCCCTCCTTATTTTATATGAAAATATTTTTTCTGTGTCCTCTTCAAAAGAAAAATCCTAAAGAGAGGCAGGGTCATAAATCAGCTAAATTGGAGAAAGTTGAAATAGCACATAATGCTGAAAAATGATGTTTCTGTTGCCCTCCCCCCCCTATTTACAATCAGTGTGGACCAATAATTATCAGATCTTAACTTACCTTCAAGCCATTGACCAAGTACTGCTGCTAGTTCCTCCATAATTATGCCTGAGTTACCACTGCCTAATGAAGGAAATTATGTGTGATATTTATCTTTGCTGTAGTGGTGATAGCGAATTTGCAATGCTCCTTTGAACTTCATAACATGGGTTTTCCTTCTCCCTTTGTTTAGGTGTTCTGCAGCACAAGGAAAAGCACACAGCAAACAGCCAATGTATTAGGAAATGAGATGCACTTCCCCATGCCCATGAATCAGAAGCAGATGTTGATCAATGCCGCCAATTCCATCCGAGACTCCAAACTCAGAGGTATTGAGTCTCTTTTGTGGTCATGCTGACTTGTTGGTGGCCAAACTGACTATTGCCTCTAGCAGCCAGCAACAGGCCAATAGAGGGTATGCTGCTGGTTACTCCATGAGATGCATGCACAGTTTTGTATTATTGGGAGCCTGCAGAAACTTGTTTCTCCATTATTGCAGTTTTTTTTAATACAAAATTGACTTTCGGGTTGCACAGAAGCAGTCAGTGAGCCACGCTTTGGCTGCCCCTGTCCTAGATGATATGAGAAGTCTGTTTGCCATTTAATATTCCATTGTCTTGTATGACAAAAATACACTCATTTTGACACTATCCCCTCAACAGACAGGTTATTTCTGACATGAGCTGAGAAGATTCTAATTTTATTTCTTGACAGCCTCAAAATTATTATCTGTCACCCCTGAAGCATCATTGTGGTCATATTACTTTAATACTTACATTGTGCCCAATACCATCTTCCATCTCACATCCCACCAGGAAAGTGGGAGGTTGTATTGGGTAGCATGTTGTTCAACTGGAAATATTTAAATTTTGGCGAGAGACAAAAAAATATGACTGTAAATGAAGAATCTCTCACAGAATACATTTGTAATTTGAACCTTGGAGAAATTTTCTTCTTGTGCTGTACATGCAAAATAAGGTGATTTCATGTTCTTTCAACTTGAATGTTGTGCCTGGAGTGCATTTTGCACATTGCTCTATGCAGAATAGCACACTTGTCTTGAGTCTGCTCCCTCCTCTTGCAGATCTTCTCATGAAAGGAATCGGTTTTCACCATGCGGGTCTTGCCGTGTCCGATCGGCACACCCTCGAGGATCTCTTTACCTCGGCGAACCTCCCCGTTTTGGTTGCCACATCCACATTGGGTGAGAACTTTCTTCTAATGGAGTGCTTTTTCCAGAGTGAATTTGCTTTGGATGCTGACTACTGCATCACTGCCCTCAGTGTTGAGATTTTTCTGTAGGTAGCATTTAATGATGTGTAGCCTTGATCAGATGGTTACAGTGAGCAGATGAATTTTATGCTTTATGAATGTGAGAATTTTCCAGTTTTATTGACCAAGGGGAGTCGTAATACTTTGAGACCTGAAATGTGATGGGAGATCCCAATGCCATTGCTTAATCTTCAAATTGATTATGTATTCATGAGTTGCCTATCGTTCAAAGTATTGTTTGGCAAGTTTTATTCTCAGATAGATTTTCTAAATCCTCTCTTGAGATCCATTACCACATATAATATATTTGCCTGTCAGACCAGAAGAAAGTTACTGACCTGATTGATCATTACAGTGGGGTTTGTTATCTGTTGATGACAGCAATGGGAGTGAACCTCCCGGCGCACCTGGTGGTGATCAAGGGGACGAGCCAGTACGTGTCCGGGAGCTGCACGGAGTACCCGGACTCCCAGGTGCTGCAGATGATGGGGCGGGCCGGGCGGCCCCAGTTCGACGTCTCGGCCACGGCCGTCGTCATGACCAAGTCCTCGCTCAAGGTCTGGGCTTTTTTTTTGCTTCTTTGGTCGCGGTGGGCTTGAGATGCCTTGGGCCTTTAAAAAAATCGCAAGAAGTTGAGGAAGTTGTGAACCAGGAGGAGAATTTGCGGCGAGATGAAGGGGTGTTCCTGGGTGTCAAAACTGGAGCGAAAGCTTTTTTTTTCTAGTTAATTTAAGTCAATTTAAAGCAAAAAGGTGAAGTGTTCTAATTTATAGAATTTAACAAAGAAAATTTGTCTTAGTTCGAACCAACCGAAAGAGAATTTACCAGAGCATGAACAAAACAAATTGTAACTTTGGGTTGAGGCCGGATTTGTCGACGCGTCCTGGAACTGCTCCTTCGTCGACGTGAAAAAAGCATTTTGTAGGATAGCGAGACTACAAAAACTACTAAACTAAAAACTACTACAAACTACAGACTACAAAAGCTAAAAACTACGCCAGAAACCAGACTTTGTGGGACTTTCAATGAGTCCCAGTGCTGATCGGCCAAACCCTCCCTGTGGCGTTCAGGGAAGATTGAAGCCATCTGGGTTTATATGATCGTTTCATTCCACCATCAGGGGCCTTTTCCGCGGAAGATTTGAAAGTTGCGAGCTGCGAGTTAGTCCTCGTCCGCTCGAAATGTGCCTAGAAGTCTCGGCAAGGTCGGAAACATCTGGCCTGTGGTGAAATTCAGGCCCAGGGTGGCTTAATTTGATTAAGATCATATTACTATTTTTTGCGCAAATGTTCAGTATATTGCGCATGAACTCATGGCGATGTGCAACGATAAGAAACGGGGGGGGGGGGGGGGGGGGGGGGGGG